TTTGTCTAGCACTTAGTTGGTGTGTTCTATTACATAATGCCTCTAATATCCTTCTATTCTATAAACCAGTAACTTTGCGTGTCGGTTTGTATGTATGTAAGTATATATGTATGTCTGTCCGTCCGCAAAATGCTTCAGAATTAGTGGAAGGAAGAACGACCGCTAAGCAAACCGGAAACCGATTGGTGCAGATGTATCAATCCAATGTTTTGATTAGGATAACAGCCTCCGCTATATAAGACAACCATTCGGTACACTCCGAGCCATTGCACGAGCTGCTGGCGTGGCAGCTGGATGTGCTCGTGCGGGGGCAGGGGGAGGGTGGGGCCGAAGGGGGGGGGGCACCGGAGTGACCCCTCCCTCTGCTTCCTCCACCTGCACGTGCTCAGCGGGACATGAGCATGTGCAAGTGGAGGAAGCAGAGGGGAGGGGATACGGTGAAGGGGGGGGGTAGCGCACGCTCGAGTGGAAGCACGCAGCAACAGCAAGAGATGAGAAAACAACCGCCAGAAAAATTCAAATCCTTTTCATTCTATAAACCATTTGTCCGCAAAATGCTTCACGGGTTAGAATTAGTGGAAGGAAGAACGACCGCTAAGCAAACCGGAAACCGATAGGTGCAGATGTATCAATCCAATGTTTTGATTAGGATAACAGCCTCCGCTATATAAGACAACCATTCGGTACACTCCGAGCCATTGCACGAGCTGCTGGCGTGGCAGCTGGACGTGTGCTCGTGCGGGGCAGGGCAGGGTGGGTGGGGCCGGGGGGGGGCACTGAGTGACCCCTCCCCTCTGCTTCCTCCACCTGCACGTGCTCAGCGGGACATGAGCATGTGCAAGTGGAGGAAGCAGAGGGGAGGGGATACGGTCAGGGGGGGTAGCTAACAATAATAATAATAGGCGGCTAATGAAATGTGTGGAAGAAGGTAAGCGCGGCGGAGCCGCGCAGTATCCTAGGAGGCGCGCCGGAGTCAGCCGGCGAAGCCGGCTGGTATATGAAATATATGGCAATCTTTTTACCCACTTTACCGAAATCTTGCAATGGATTTATTCCGATTTGGATAGCTTAATAGCTTTTCCTTGAAGTGAGGTCAGCTGCAGTTGAGCACGACGTGCCTCGGCTAATGAGGTCGCTTCGCACCTCGCTAATTATGCCTCGAATCCAGGTGCGAGAAGTCGTTAACGAGGTGCGATCGTACCATCTTTATCCTACCCTTTGTTCCTACGAACCGGATCACCTGGCTGTCGCTTGGTGCTCCTCCTTCTGGGTCACGGCCCAGCTTCGCCTAGCTCCGCTAAGAACTCTTCTCTTAGACAAGGTAGATTGAGCAAAGTTCTGTCGAAGTGGCAATGTCACTTTTGGCAATGCATTCCCTTTCGCTAATTATTGACTTTCAACTCTGGCGCGGCTGCATCATAACATTAATGACTCCAGAAGGTTGGTATGAGAATGATTTTTTTCTTGATTAATGAGTTTCACATTTCCCGTTGCAGACGCGCAATAAATCATAGCCCTGCTCGGCATCATTGCATCCAGCTAAGGGCACAGCTACTCTAATGGATAATTTTCGTTTTTTGACATTGAAGGAAATAATTTACACCTTAAGTCTCCAATTACTTGGCATTGTAGTGGTAAGAAGTGAAGCGAGGATGATTATATTAACTCTTATCAATTGATATGATTACTTGTAACCCATCGTCAATGTCCCTATCACAAAATCTCTATAATTTGGTACTTGAATGCCCCGTCACCCTCAACAACGACAACACCGCAACTTCTCTTATCAACCCCTATCAGTTGTTATGGTCTTTTTTCACCCACTGTTCTGTCCACATCTCTCCATCTATACCAGCTGCTGGAACAAACGCCTCGTTGACGCTGTGACCTGCGATATGAATACAGTGAACACAACTTCCTAACGCCCGTTATCGGATCTTATCCGCTGCTGACACTTCTTGTCACCCACTAAAGATAATCAGCCCTATATCCTACATCATATCTTGGAATCAACACCCAGCTGATTCTGTCATCTGCGTTTTGAATATGGTGACGTTCCCCTTCTAACGCCTCTTATGGAATCTTATCAGTGAATATCACTTCCTATCACCCACCAATAATCTTCCCCTTCCCATACCCTATATCATATCTTGGAACCAAAGTCAGTTTGCTACTGTGTCCGGGGTTATGAATTCCGTGACACACAGACAGACGGACACACACAGACATACTTAGATTATATATAGTAGGATGGCATGAGTGAACTCTTCATGAGAAAAGGTGCCTCGAGACGTAATGCCATTCGCTGTTACTGTCAGCCTAAGATGGCCTGAACTATTTTTTCGAACCACTTGTTTGGCAGACGCACTTTTCATTCCCGTGCGGCACGAAGCCACCATCCTCTGACTTTCCTATGCAATGTTTTGGAATATATGAAAGTGTTTACTTTTTCTTCAGGAAAAAACGGAGTTCCACTGCACATGGCTCTTCCCATGCTCATGATGTACACGACATCACCCATAGCTTCAGCTTCATCCATGTACTGCGTTGAGAGCAGGATGCACCTGTCATTTGTTCAATTAGAAAATAGTGGATTTCTCTTGTGCCTCATACATGGAAGCTGCAGCAGTATCACCCATTACCTCTCTTTTATTTGAGGAATACAGTTCGCATTTTCTGGGCGTGCAAATTTAGCTATCATCTGCTATTTGACTACTACACTGGCTCCGCAGCCCCGTTCTCTGGTGGAAACTTCCTCAGATTCCACTCGATTCGTCACAGTGCGAGATTCTGCACTTTCATCGCTTCGGTATGCATGGGGTGACATTGTTAGCGCTGTGCTTGTTGTTCCTCACGAGATTCATAGCGGTCGCAACAACAGTGAGCTTTGGTGGCGGGGGCAACAGGTGATGCACCGAATGGGACGGGGAAACTGAGGGTGATAGAGAGTGCTCAAAAGGAGTAAAGAGATGGCGATGAAAGCGAGTGTTATGAAAGTGCTAGCTAGAGTAATATTGGGTCCCAGCAAGTTTTGCAATGAAAGGTAAAGGGAAGTCGAGGGTAACTAGGGGAAAATTCCATAAAACTAGTTCGGGTCTTCGTGCGGCACTATACTGTTTTTTTTTCTTCTGTAAAACAAGTTTGAAAGTCAGATTAGGACTTTCCAAATCCTTCCATCTTGTTCAACTGACTAAATCTTTGGCGCTGGGGAGGAAGGGTTACAGGGAGGCGTGACACCTTTCCTCCCGAGTCTGCGTATCCTCAAAGCCTTTCTAAAAGGACGATCTGCAAGGGATTCTGAATTATTCAGCGTCGCTTGCAGCATCACAAGATCGTTTCATATGCTCCCGACTTGATAGCTGTCAGTACTGGTTGCCAGACTTATGATTTGTTTCCTCGAAAACCTTCTTCCAAGTTGCAGGAACTTTTCCGCATTCGTCATTCTGAAGGAGTTAAGTGTGAGTGGTCCGGAGAAACGGCTGCTAGCAAAGGGATGTTTGAAGCGCCTGCAAATGATTGCTGATGATGATTCCCAGTTTGTGGGAGTGTTACAGACATGCTGATGGAATCAGCAATTCTATAACAGTCCCACGATTAAAGAGGTCCCATTGAGAGGGACTACGATTCTTTCTTTCATTTTCCCCGTTCGAGTGCACTGCTGCCTACAACTCATCTTTCAAGCCTCCTATCTATTAGGTTGTCCGGAAAGTTCTCAGCGTTTTGTGTTACTATTTTTTGTACATTCATTGCTGATTAAAAACTCATTCTCCCTTGCGTCTCAGTAGTACATCCTGAAGAGAATTTTTGCGCTATCTGATGGTATAATTGCCGTTTCACTTGACTAACCCCCTTTTTTCAAGAGTTTTTCAAGCATGTCAAAAGAGCAACTTTGGACGATATTGTTCTTCACTACAAATTGGGTCAATCCGCAGTCGAGACAGCTCGACAAATTAACCAGGTGTGGGGGCCCACTAGTGTTGGAGAAAGCACCGTGCGACAATGGACAAATTTCGTTCTGGAGATTTCAGCCTTGAAGATGAACCTCGTAGCGGTCGACCTAAAGCAATACCTGACGAAGATTTGAAGGCATTTGTGGAGGCTGACCCATCCCAAACAGTTCGAGAGATTGCAGAAAAGCTAGGCGTTGGCAAATCCACTGTTGGATGGTCTGAAACGCATTGGGAAGGTGAAAAAACTCGACAAGTGGGTGCCCCACAATTTGAGTGACCGGCAGAAATTGGCACGTCTCGAGGTTTCTTCTTCACTGCTTTTGCGCAACAGAAACGACCCGTTTTTGGACCGAATTGTCACCTGTGATGAAAAGGGATCATGTATGATAACAGGAGACGTTTCGGACAGTGGTTGGATGCCGGCGGACCCCTGAGGCAATTTCCAAAGCCGAATCCTCACGAAAAAGGTTATGGTCACAGTGTGGTGGTCATCGGCTGGTGTGATCCACTATAACTTTTTGTCACCAGGCCAAACCATCACAGCAGAGTCCTACTGTGAAGAAATCGACGAAATGTACCGAAAATTGCGTCAGCTGCAGCCAGCACTTGTCAACAGAAAGGGTCCGATTCTTTTGCATGACAACGCCCGCCCACACGTTTCACAAATCACTATCCATAAATTGAACGAATTGGGGGTTGAAGTTCTACCTCACCCGCCATATTCTCCAGACCTTTCACCAACCGACTATCACCTTTTCAAACATTTTCAGAACTTCCTTGCTGGAAAATACTTCATCAATCAGGACCAGGCAAAAAGCCTTCGTGGATTTCGTAGATTCTCGACCACCCAGTTTTTTTCTTTGATGGGATTTCTCGACTGGTGTCACATTGGCAAAAGTGTGCTGATTCGAACGGTGCTTGTTTCGATTGAATCCGATGAGTATTAAGAAAGTTATGATCGTTTAAAGTGAAACACTCAAAACGCTGAGAACTTTCCCGACAACCTAATACAAACTACGAACGAACGGCTAATTCGAGCGACGTTGAAGCTCACCGCTCTTTCTTTTGTTTTATGATGAAGTCTGTGACAATTTTTCTAGAATGCGGATCCATTTCCGCTGTAGGCTCATCTAAGATCAGTAGTCTGGATCCTCCAATGAATGCCAGGGCCAAGCACAGTTTCCGTTTTTCACCACCAGACAGTTCCGAAGCGTTCTTAAAGCAAGAAAGTACATAAAAATGATTGCACCAAAGTTGCATTTCCAGTATCCAAAACATCTAGTTGTCACTGGATAAATTACCTTTTCTTGAAGGTGTTGCATGCCCAGAGATGAGCATAGCTCATTTGCATTTTCCTTCCAATTGGCTTCACCTCCTTTCAGTTTGAAGAAAAACCAAAGATGGTCATCAACGGTGAAGCATTCGAAAATGCTGTTCCACTGTGGACAGAAGCCCATGTTTGAGTGAAAGTTTCGTTCTACATCTTTACCGAATATTGTTATGGAACCTTAAAAACATCACTTGATTCTAGTAGACCTGGCAGTGAAGCTCACTCATCTTAACATATACGAATCAGTAAGAAAGAAAAAAGTGTGGAGCTGCTCTCCTCTTTCATGAGGATGTTCAAAGCACACATTCGTAGCAGAGATAAGTGATGTCTTCTGACCCGCACTACAGGGAAAATGATTGCTGATGAAGACGATTTGAACTCGTTCCTCTCTTCCTCATCATTCCTCTTGCTCCGCTTTCTGTGCACGTGTAAAGGGCAAATTTTAAAAGAAATGTTATGGGATTTTCTGACGTTGAGCGTCATCACTCAGGCTGATGGAGCGAGTGGGATTTAACTTTTATTTCAGTGGGATCTACGTTCACATCCGCTCACTGGAAGAACATGAGACCTGGAACTAGAATCGCGAGATTCTCAACAAGGACCAACGAACAAGGAAGCACTGAAAATAGCAAAGAATGCTATGTCAGAAGGTCAGCTTCTATTCCGGAGATAATCGAATTTCTGAGAATGATCAGTAAAACAAGGGTCAATATCGTCAGGGAGCACTGCTTGGGACAGGTTGCAAATCACATATTGGATGCGTTATGACATTTGCTCATGCAGTAAGATGAACTGGTAAAGTTATCCGTGAAGAAATGAAGCAAACGTGCCTGTCGTTATACTTGTAAAACCACAAATCATATTATATGTCGTGCTTTTGCCAGCCCCATTATGACCAAGAAGTACCGTGACCTTAAAAGCAGTTGTTGACATCAAGTTCATTTCATTAAAAGTTCATTTCCTTAATGAGAAAAATTCGAGAGCAGTTGAACGACTTGGATTGTCAGTGACTTTATTAATGTCGAGTGTGCGTACAGGTTGCAGCATCGTTATGCGTGAAATGGTGGTGTTAGTACCACCCTTCCCCCTCAGGAACAGGAACTGGGTGAGACCCCCTCCCCTTCTCGGTAAGACTAGGTATGCCTCTCCCCCTTTCTCTAACACCTATTACTTACCCTTTCCTTTATGTTACAAGCTTCCTAGCAGTTTTTTTTCCGTTTCCCAAACTTCGCTTGAAGTTGCAATTTTTCCTTGAAAAAAATTTCGACGAGCGAAAGCTATGTAGAGGGCCCAAATACGACTCCCCGCTACACAGCGGTCAAGTACGACCCGTCCCACGTATTTCGAGCAATGCGTTGTCCCCTGGTTACGTAGCGCACAAACGTTGAGCCTGTTTTTTGTGCGAGGCCTTTCTGACAGCACTGTGTACCCTTTGTTACCGTCCTAATACTTTGTCACAGTCACAAGAGCATCTTGCACAGGTATCTGTTGCTATGGTGGTATTTTTGCTTATTCTTGTATCTATCGAACGGCTTTGAAAGAGGTCACAATATAAGAAACACACCTCTCCCACACAAGCTTTCATTGAAAGACCATTCACTGCAACTTCGCCTGTGGTCTCCCACACTTTGCTCACATTATTGATTACCAGTGCCGCTTCAGCTTTCGCTTCTCCGAAATCTTCATGCCATGATTCCCTCATCGATTCAACAGCATTTCGCTGAAAAGTGGCTACCCAACAACTGTGGAAGTGTTCTTGAAGAGGTCGGGGTCAGAGATCGTTTCTTTTACAAACGATGCGCACAACCTTGAAAGTGGAGTCAAAGATCTATGGCAGGTGTTCAGCTATGTTCAGTTATATGCATGCATGAGCGAGTTTGAAGTTGCCTGACCCAAACGTACACGCCTCGTCGGAGATTTAATCTTTCACGGCTGATCAACTTCTCCTCCTTAATTTTCTTGACTGTTGCTTCTGGTAACCAGTTTTCTCCGTAATGAACGTTTGTGATATTTGAACTTCTGTTCAGCTGACGAAAACGGAACGTCAGCCAAATAGAAGTGATGCGAGGATCGCCCACACATGCACTTCAGGCACAGGGCCATACACGCTCTGCTGCCTCTGAGCCGCGCCGCTTTACAATTGATACTAGTAGTGCATCGATTTATGGGATGTGTGAAGAAGTTATACCCGGGAATTTAGGCTAATCAGTAAGGGAATGTTAGTGGAAGTAGTCATTTTAAACCAGAGGTACACCGACTGACGCCTTTTGAACGCTGGCTTGAATCTGCCTTCTTAATCTGTTGAACGATTCTTTGAACAGAATTGCAGAGCTGTTGAGCTGACCTGCGCTCGAGACTACCCAAGTTCAACAGATATGTGAATGGTGGGTGAGCACACTGAACATTTGCTCCGATGGCGTAGTGGACAGTCGAACGGCCTGATGTCTGTAAGCCCGAGAGTTCAAACCCTTTGTACACTCTTGTTTCTGCGTTTTCTCAAGTAAGCCCTCTGCACATCCTGAAAAACTTCTGCGTGGCTAGGGACATGGTCTCACCGAGAAATGGTGTTTCTGAAGGAATGGTGCCATTCGGAGCGCTGTTGAAGGACTTTTCTTAGTGTTGGATTCGGAATATTCATTCGGAATAAAATTAAAAATGAATGTAATATTCGTGATCAGGACAGCGAGTCATCGAAGAGGACTGAGATTCGGCGGAAAGGCTTCGTTGTGCACTGGAAATTTGATCGTATGTAGTGCCACTGTACTTGAAGAGGCCCGCTATCATTCCCCATCACACGTAGTGACTAGGAGTTTGCATATAGACGACAAGTTGCTGAGTAACTCGATAGTGAAGAATCACCTGTATCACCTGTGCTCCCGTTGATCATCGAGTTCCTCGAGCGGGCGCCAGTAACGTCTCCATTCGTCCCTGCAACGTGCAAGAGTTGCCCAATGAACTCTCTCTGCTCGAGGGACACGATGAACTTCATACCATTCGTTCAGAGCTTTCACGAAGAAGTCTGACCATCGCATAGGCGGTCGTCCAGGCGTTCGCTTGACATCCCGTGGAATCCAGTCGGTGATCGCTCTGGTCCAGCGGTCGTCCGGCGGAAGCTCCGGATTCCCTCTCTCACTTGCGTGTAGCGGGAAACTCCGAGCATCGCCCTTTCGATGGCGCGTTGAATAACGCCGACCGCATGCTCATCCTGCTTTCGTAGAGTCCTCTGAGGCGTACGTCAAGGCAGGAAGGACCGCGGAATCGAAGAGGTGGGCACGGAGCTTGGTGTTCTTCGTCTTCTTCGCTACTCCCTCGATGTTCTTGAAGGCTCCCCAAGCCGCTCGCTTCCTCCTGCTCAGCTCTGGAGCTAGGTCATTCATCATATTGATTTCACGACCTAGGTACACATAGCTAGAGCATTCAGAGATGGTCGTTCCGTTGAGCGTGAATGGGGCATCAGAAACCAATCCGTTTCTCATGAACATCGTCTTCGTTAGATTCAGCCGTAGACCGATTTTTCCACACGCGCAGTCGAATTCAGCCAGCATTCGTTCCGCTTGCTCGATGTTTGGTGTTATCAAAACGATGTCGTCAGCAAAGCGGAGATGGTGTAGTTGCCGATCTTCACTCCCATGTCTTCCCATTCCAGTTGACGCATGACGTTCTCGAGAGAGGCGCTGAAGAGCTTGGGCGAGATGGTGTCGCCCTGTCGGACCCCTCTCTTCACATCGATGATGATCTCCTTGTAGAATGGTGAGATCTTGGTCGTGAAGTTGCTGTAGAGCTCACGAAGAATCCTGATGTACTGAGTAGGAATACCCTGGTTGCCCAGGGCTTCGATAACCGCTTCTGTCTCAACGGAGTCGAAGGCTTTCTTCAAGTCGATGAACGTGAGACATAGCGGCATCTTGTACTCTCGCGATACTTCGATGAGCTTCGTTACCGTGTGGATGTGATCGATCGTGCTGAATCCTCTTCGAAACCCTGCTTGCTCGCATGGCTGTCCTTCGTCTAGTGTTCTGCCAATCCTGTTCAGGATGACTCGTGTGAAGAGTTTGTAGACTACAGACAGCAGGCAGATTGGGCGATAATTGCCAATGTCGTACAGGTCTCCCTTCTTGTACAGCAACACAGTCTTGCTGGTTTTCCACGAGGTGGGTACCTTGCATTCCGACAGGTAGCGCGTGAAGAGTCGAGCCAGAGTTTTGACAAGAACTGGCGGAAGATTCTTCAGATGTTCGGGTCTGATCCTGTCGGGACCGGGTGCCGTACGATTCTTCACCGACGAGATGGCGTGTCGGACTTCGGAAAGGACTGCAGGAACGACATATCCATCCTGCTCCAAGCGGTATGGTGGCAGGTGGACGTGGCTGTCAAAGAGATCCAGAGTAGAAGTCGTGGATGACCTTCTCCATTGCCCTTCTGGATGCGGTGATTGTTCCATCCGGACGTCGGAGGGCGGTCATCTTGGTCTTACAGTTGGCGAAGTCGCGGCGGGCGTTGCGTATGCTCTTCCCAGCCTCTGCGGCTTCCACCAGTACTGCTGCTCTTCTCTCCTTGAGGTCTTCCTTTATCGCTTCTCTGCATAGCTTCGCAAGCTCAGACGTCAGCTGGTAATTGCCTGCGGCTCGTGCGGCTCCACGTTGGCGAATCAGCTCGAGAGTTTCCAGAGATAGACGCTTCTTGGTAATCTTGGAACTCTCTGACTTCTTGGCGCAGTCGTGAAGATGTGCGACAAGCCGTTCGTATTCCTCGTCGATGTTGTCGATGACGGAATCCTCCCAGAGCCCAGCGAGAGAATGAGTGAATGTGATCCCAGTTGATGACGGTGGCTTCGCTTCTTGAACCTTTGCAGCTCTCTCTCTCTCCTCGCATCGAAAAGCGGAATCTCGCGCGAAGGAGACGTGGTCGGATCCTGTGTAGAACTTAGGAACAACAGCGACATCGGTCAGGCAAAACCTTCGATTGAAGATGATGTGGTCGATCTCGTTATGGAATTGTCCACCAGGAGACTCCCATGTCCAGCGTAGAGAGTAGGGCTTCTGGAACTGCGAGTTACCATGGATGGTATGGGTCGACATGATAAACTCAGACAGCCTTTCACCCTGCGTTCCGTGAGTTCCGATGTGAAGTTCTTCAGCCGTTCTTCTTGGTCCGATCTTAGCGTTGAAATCACCGACGATGACCTTGAAGAAGGTATGATCTTCCTTGTAGAACTTCTCCAATTCCATATAGAACGCTTCGAGCTCATCCTCGTAGCTTGATGTTGGTGCGTAGGCGACGAAGATTGTCAAAGCCGGAGTTGAACCACATCTTCTCAATCGCAAACGTCCGATTCGGGTCGTCAGATTTTCGTACGAATCGATGTTCATGGCCAAGTGCGTGTTGACGAGGAACGCCTCTGCTGTCGCATGTTCCGAGGAACAGTTCTTCTCCAGTCTCGTATACGGCGATGCCTCCTCGTCTCGGTCAGTCCGATGACGTCGTACTTGATCTTCCTGGCTTGCAACATCAGATCTTCGATGTGAGCTTCCGATGCAAGCGTCCGTGCGTTGAAAGTACAGATCGTCATCCTAGTCCTGGGCGACTTAAATCTCCGTTGGCCCTGTGATTCTTGCAGCCTCGCCCGAGCGGTCCCAGCCGACGTCGCCCTGTCGGTGGTTCCCTCAGGTTCAGGGGAATGAGGCCCATAATTATTACTGTTTTCGGCGAGAAGAAATTTGACCACGCTCGCCAGGCTCTGACGTGGCACCCTCCGCATTGGTACGGTTTGGAACAGTCCAAACCGTTCACCCCCACGCCACGTTGAGGCTGCGGATAGGATTTGTGGGGGGAGTGAAGAATAAATCAGAAAAAAACATGTCGATTGCCCCAGATAGAACTCCTCTCCGATACGAGTTTGAAACGTGCTCAATCACCTTCATCTCCTACACTACCCAGTCATGCGCACAGCTGATTCCTTTCCCCGATAAGAACTCTACGACCGTGCGGTCTGTTTTCACGTTCATGAATAGCATTCAAGACGTGGTATATAAGATGTATTAGATCTTCCCGGTGAAAAAGTAGAACATTTTCTTAACCAAATGGAAGAAAAAATGTGAAAGGATCATATTTGGTTCCCTATTAAGAGAGTCGCTTTCATGAATGACCCGCTGACAGTGCCCAGTAATCTCCAGACCCAGCAGCTTCAGTTTTCATCAAGTCAATGAACAATGTTGGTCAATGGCACCTGATATCGCAGACAACTAAACGGGCTTGTGTATTGTTTTTATTGGAATATTTCCACAATATGGCCAATTGGGGTATGACTATGTGATGAGCAGTTATGCCCTTTCTGTAGTTATGTGGTGCCATCCACTTGTCAGTCTGGCCCTCGAAGACAGGTAATAGACACCGGCGATGAGGTTTGGTTCTCTGGTTAGAGCAGTTTGGAAGTCACAACGGTGAAATCCATCGATGATCATCTCTTAGGCACTCGTGGTTTTCGAGGCGGAATATGAGTGGCTTATCCCCACATTTGATCAATTCCGACGTTCGT